GAATGAAGAAAGAATATTTTTTGTGAGTTCAGTTAAGAGAGAATGGAGATCAAGTGACAACAAGTTACACCGTAAAAAAAAAATCATGATACACAAACCAAAACCATTTTAAAAGATAAAAGCAAATTTTACTAAATATTAGGAGCGCACAAATTTGGTGGTTTGTACACCCAGAAAAAAGAGTAATAAATTCCTAGACAAGTAACTTATTTTTTTCTAAAATAAAGCTCAATAGTAGTTGTGGGAAAAAGATCAAGTTTACGATCAATATCAAACAAATAACATGAGATATCATAAGAAAAATGCCAGTCTATACAAAACAATGCAAATTACAAGGAAGAAGGTAAAATAAAAGGATTTCAATGAGGTCGAACCCTGTTACCTTGAAGGTAGAAAATGTGAATGTTCTTAATAGTTCTTGTAATTCGATGTGAGTTGTCAAAGTTTGTGACAGAATCCATTTAAACATTCAGAGTTCAGAATCTTCAACATAAAATGTTGTTTTGAGTAGAAGTACAACAGTACTTGTTCTCTGATAAGGAAATGACTATTTTGTTACAATAGTTGGGGTGAAAACAAAACAATTCTATCGTGAAAACCACAATTTGGTTTTCAAGTCTTCATTGAGGAGTGGGTTTTCATGTTTTTAGAAGGCATTGCATCTCCCTATTCCTCTGGTAGTTATGCCTACCACTCCTCAGCATTGTGTCTCCTACTGTTTGCAATGGTCTTATTGCAGGGATTTTTATCGCCAAAGGTTGGCTCTGATTTATCCAGCAAATTTTGGTGGTCATCACAAGTATTTCAGATTTCAATCAGGATGAGTAGTCGTTGGTTAAAAAATCACAAATATCAAAACAATTTATTGTAGTAGAAAAAACATTTGTCTTTCTTTCCCTTTTCTTTAACTTTAATTGATGCCCACTCCCCATTCCTTGGTCAAGTAGCTTTGCATGCAGACTGGCAAAGTTCAGGTTGCAGTAAATTATTTTATTACCTTCATCCCTTCACCCAAACTAACGAGAACCAAAATTTACTCAGAGTGGACAAAATTATTTTTTAACAAATCCAGAGATGTACCTGACATGTCCTATACTAATGCTACTGAATGACCATGAAAATAAAAATCCTGTAACTACAAAACTTATTTTATGTGGTGGCAGTATACCAATAATACAACAGAAGTAAGGAAAAACATTTAATTAACACACAAGTTTTGGCATTTTTTTTAAATTTTAAATTTGATCAAGATTTAGTGCTTACTCTGTATGCTATGCTTTGAAAAGTAAGAGAGAAAGAGATTATCGATGGTCAGTATTTGATGCAAATATCACTAACAGTACAGGAATATCATATGTGTAATAACAATATTTTACTATCATTATATGTATAGGAATAAATATATGAACAAAAATAATGTAAATATCACTAATTTAAGAATGAATTTGTTTTCTTTGTAAGAATTCAGGTATGTAGTGAAATGCATGAAGAAGTTGGATTCTCTAACCTTACTCAGTTCCAGGTTACATTTTGTTTGCATTTTTTCTTGTATGTCAGAAGTTACAATTACTGATATATAATAAATAACATTGGACAATAATGTGTCATAAAGGGTGTTCCAATAACTTGGACTGATTTTAAATGTGAATTAAGTTTAAGCATTTAATGATTTTTTTTTTCTTTTTCTTTCAGATTTAATAACTTAAGTCTTTGGCAATTTCAACCGTGAAAAGATTAACAACCAAACAACATGTTAAAGTCATTAAAGCCTATTACAAAAATGGACGTTCAAACAGAAATGCACTTCAATTTTGGTCAACATAATCGACCAACTGAGAGAGAAATTGGAAACAGTGTAATGTTGTTGTGGAGAGGTTCAATTCCTGTGGGCAATGGCGAATAGAGGTGTCTGGATTTTCAGCCACATTCTCATGCACTGCAGCAATCAGCTGAACAGCATAAACAAGCACACAATGGTGTTTTCATGTCTGCCACCGACCCAGTTTGTTTGAATTTATGAACAACTTTTCCAATTTCACTCTTGAAACTTTAACATATTGTTTGATTGTTAATCTTTCCATGGTTGAAATTGCTAAAGACATAAGTTGTTAAATCTGAAAGAAAAAGAAGAATATCATCTTAAACTTAATTCACGTTTAAAATTGGTTCAAGTTATTGGAACACCCTTCGCAAGTGTAATACACGTCCTCTAACTTATCTGAGTTGGTTTCTGGCAAACTTTTTATTTGATCTATGACTTTTACCAAGATATTGTAATAAGGCAATAGATCTATCATAACCATTCATAGTTAACCCTTTGCTTTATTCAGATATAAAATATTCTTTTCTTTAGGAATGCTTATTGAATGCATTATACAGAGTGCAATGGATAAATTGTTGTCTAAATTATGCAAAAATGAAAATAACACTGACATTTCATTTTAACAGACATATTTACCAAAATTGCACAAAAATATCTTGAAATACTAAAGAGTAAATTTATTCAATTTAACTACCAACGATAGCCTCCAGATGACTTTGGAATCTCCTGCATCTCTTCTGGATGTTTCCCTTGTTTAAGTTGGTGAATGCTGTTATAATCCTTGCCTTCAGTTATAAGGAGTTTTGTTGGTATCTTGCTCAACTGTGCCCCACACATAATAATCAAGGGGGTTGCAGTCTGGAGAGTTAGCTGGCCAGATGTAAGGGGTGGAAATTGACAGCCATGACTGGGTTCTCCTGCTTGTGTGGCATGGTGCAGAGTCCTGTTGCCAGACATAGGGTCTTCCAGCAGCCACCCTCTTGGTCCAGGGGAGCACTACCTCAAGGCACTTGATGTAGGTCACCAACAAATTTGGAAGTTCTTTTCTTATCAGAATGATCAAAGTAAATTTTCCAAGCTGCTGTACCTTTGTAATCACCATTAGACTCATCCGACTCTTTCCAAATCTGCTGCACTGTCCTCAGACTCTGAAATGTTTGTACTGGAGCTTCCAGCATGAATGCCAAGCAGTACAGCATGCTGTTTCCAATTTCTGGTGGAGTAAATTGCATCACAGTGCTCTTTTTCTCACAGACAGTGCCCAACTATACAGGTGACAAAATAAAAAACAAACAACACATATGTGCAAAATTAAAGCTATAAAACGGTGACAGTTTACCCATCACACCCTGTATATATGTTACATGGTCAAAGTCACATCAGCATGTTTACTTAGTTGGTCACATGATCTCTGTAACATATGAGTTAGGCCTTTAATAATATCACTTTTGTCAAGATATATTACTGAATATATTACACACATCAGTGATAATCTGAAAATAATTTGATATATTTCCACAGAAACTATAATAGATACAGGCAGCACAATAACACTGTTGAATAGACAGTTATATGTATTATATCTTTCACCACAGGAGACAGTATTTTAAAGTGTAAATAATATTGAAATCAACACTGGATAAAAGCATTGGTTTGTGAATTTGGTGACATAGTGTGTTGGTTTCAATCCCATGGGGAATGACTGCAAAACTCTTGTCCCTCCCCAATTTATAGGCAGAAGCACACAAATGCATGCTGGGATTTTTTCCTAGCCAATAAAATAGGCCGGCTCACAGTTTCATTTGACTCGATCCTGATCTATCTTGTCTTGATGTTAGAACGCTACATTTACTTGTCTGGGCTTGCTTTTATGTGTCAACCCCAATTCTTAGTTTGTGAACTTTTTGTGATATTACTGTTGCTTTGCCTTCTTACTTTTAATTTGCCTTGCATATATTGTTTACCTGCTTTATATTATTTATTCCCCTGTTCTTTTCTTTCCTTTTTCTTGTTATTGCTTATTGCAAATTTTATCAATTCCATTTGTTGGACAGTTCTATTACTTATTTTGCATGGTTACTTACTCCACATAGTGGTTGTGAGTTCAATCCCTGGGTTGGGCAATGTGTACTTGCATTGTGGGAATGTGCAAGCAATAACTGCACAATGCTAAATAAAATAAAACTAGACAATATCCCTAGACCTCAGCAATGGAACAAGAACAGTAGCCTAATTAAATTAGATTAAATAAATGGTTAAGTTAGGAATTATCTCTAGGTTACCCAGATCGATATACACCTGAGGAAGGCCCGTGGGCATAACAGCTGAAATGTTGTGATAAAAACAACAAAGATGAGGACAATAGTTCGAATATAAATAGTGTAAATAATAAACATTAAGATTTTGTATATACTGATGTTCAAAGACATGGGAGAATTATACCAGTCTGAAAATAAAACTATAGACTGAATTAGACATTGAATTTAGTGCACTGAATTACAAATTTTTAGGGAATTAGAAATCTTTTATTTTTTATATTTAATAATTAAGCTTTATAATTTTAGTCAGAGTAGGACGTGCCCATCTTTTCTACCAAGATGACATGTCTTTAGTATTTTTTTACAATGATGTTCACTCTGTACAAGGCCCAAGAGCCACTCAAGGTAGAGGCTTACAGAATAAGAGGCACCGCCCCAAGCAATGCTGATATTGCAACCAAGATGCAAAGGGCCATTGGAAGTCAAAGAGAAGAAAAAGATTTTAGAGGGAACCAGAAAACCAATCCTAAAGAGTAAACAAGTGAAAAACTGCTATTCCTGTTCAAAAGATCAGGGAGGAGTGTGAACTGGACGATAGGCAAACCTATCTACCCCTATTATACAAAAACTTGTGTATTATGTGACCACAATGTGATGATCACTAGCAATAGCTTGCAAGACACTATATCATGATAAGAGTTTGGTGTATGTGAGTGTGTGCACACACACACACACACACACACACACACATATATATATATATTGTAGTAATATTCAGAAATAATTAGTGGGTAGCTTTTTGTTGTTAAAATATTATTATTATTTAAAAATTCTTATCTTTCAAATTGTTAATTTTTTTGCTATTATATCATCTTATTTTGTTATCATATCATTTTATGCACCTGTTCACTTTATAAGGGATGTTCCGCGCATGTTGGCAGCGTCTTGTGGGAAGGCCTTCCTTATTGTGTGTTCAACAGAAAAGAAGCCTTTATGACGGTAAGGAGTTAGCAAACTAGTTTACAATTTGATTATTATTTCAAATTTTTATTATATGGCCTTGTGCCAAACTTGGCTTCATATAAGAAAATCCCTTTATTTTTGTTATTCTTGTTATGAGTGACAGACAAACAAACTGAAGTAAATTTAAGGAAAAGAAGAAATGTTTATAAAAAGAAACAAAGGAAAGCTTTCATAAAAACTCTTCTAAACTTTTGTATCTTTCATAAAATATGTATCACTTAACCTATATTCTCCTGATATCAGGCTAAAATGATACCATTTTTTTCCATATATCCAGGCCTGTTACTAGAATGTTTTGAGGTGGCAGAGATGGCTCAAGTAAGAATTTGTGGCAAACATGGACCTTTGTGTCATAAAAAAAAACAGTTTCAAAAGGATAGTTTTTTCTATTGACACCACTATTATTTTAACTACATTCACTTCCTCAGCAATGTTTATTTACAAGCTTATAAAAAATTATTTACCTTTTTTTATAAAGATTAATCATTTTTCATTTTATAAAGAAATAAATGTAAAAAGAAATCTTTTTATTCAAAAATTAAAAAGAAATTTAAAAAATTATAAAAATATGTAAACCATCTAGAATGCAATAAATTTTAAACATTGAATAATTGCCAATTTTATCTACCTTCAGTCCTTCAGCAATGTTTGCTGTTTTAAAAAGTGATGATTAGAATTTTAATAAAACCCAAATATATGAAATTAAAATAAGAAGTAATCTGAGAAGAAAACGTATTATGTCCAGAAAATAATGTTTATTCAAATTTTGTTTGAGAATTCATTGATATAAAAATATGAATAAAAAAACTTGTTTTCATAGTTATTTATAAAATGGTAAAAAATAAATATTGTATTCTAAATAAATATTGCTGAGAGTGTGAAAGTAATTAAAATAATAGTGGTATCAATAGAAAAAGCATCCTTTTGAAACAACATTTTTTTTACCAGCACAAAGGCCCAAATTTTGCTGAATTTGCTCATTAAAATTAGTTCATTTTTGCTGGGCAGTGAAAATAGGGGTGATGAGTTTGCATATATGTAAGCTGTAATTATAAACTATAGTTTAGAAAGTGAAAATTTTCATCTGAAATCAAGAAAATAAACTTTAAGCAAATTGGTCACAATGTATTGATAAAAGGCTTCAATTTAAATTGAGGTCAGGCGGATATGAATTAATACACTTAGCCAGTTTTGTCAGACAAAAATTACTTGGAAATGTTGGCAAACTAAATCAATTTTAAAAAAATTGAAGAAACTAAAAATGAATTTTTTTTTGTCTTGTATCAGAATTAAATGCCAACATGGGTTGGGGTCATTCACAATTAGATAAATTACATGAATGTTTTGGCAATTTGTTTACCTGTATCAGTAAAGTGACCATGTGCAATAGTCTCCATTAGAATAACTGTTGTCATAAATCACCAAACTTAAGCAGTTTTGAGTCTGATCAGTATCCTCCACTTCTCCCAGCTATGGATTAATTAATAAAACTTGTATCACTAAACCATTATTATTCCCCCCCCCAAAAAATAATTCTTGCTATTTAAAAATATTTTCTGGCTTTAAATAACCTGTAAAGGGTTGGTAAACTGTAGAAAACTAATTGATCAATAATATATATATATATATATATATATATATATATATATATATCTCCTTCATTTAAGGTAAATAATTATTATCCCCCAAAAATTAGTTTTGAAAAAAGTTTTTTTAAATAAAAGTAAAAACTTTAGAAAACTAAAAATAATGCAGATATCAAAGCCATAAGCACAGTTTCAAACTTGACATTGTAAATAAAAACTAAGTAAAGATAACTCTTTAAAAAGTCAGGAATTTTTTTTTACACTATTGATATTATGAACAGGAGTCCCCTTCTAAAATGATAAAAACACTATTCTGACAAATGCTATGGCTTGATAAATAATAATCTGCAACCCCCCCTCCCCACACACACACTAAATTTTCCCTAATTTTTATGAGTGGACCAGTCTATTTAAGTAGTGTCAATACTTTAGTGGCAAAAAACATTCATTTTATCTTTGCCTAAGCAACCAAATATGTCCAAGATTTTATTCTGTTTTCTAAATTCTTACCAATAAGATGTGTTTGTCATGAAAACTGGTTATTTCAAACCTTCCATGTACAGTAAAATGGAGATTACATTATACAGGAAAATAAAATGTACTCATGATTTTACATAGAGATATACAATTTTTTTAATGACATTTTCTCTCAGTATATAGGTGATCATGGCTCTTCACAGACTTTTTTTTTTATCTGAATTGCTATGACTTCTTGGAAAAGACCACAGAGTGGTTACTTATTGCTTTCTCTATAGTTTTGAATTCAGAGTTTTTATTCTCCTAGACTGGCTGCTATTCATGGCTGGAGAGCCCAGTTTACTCTGTTATTTAATCCATAGGTTTTGGGAGGAGAAATGGATTTGTGCCTTTCCATTACTGCAAAGGGAATGCAAAACTCAAGTGAAATTTGAACCTAACCTGCTGATTCAATTTTCTGTGTCAATAACCATTGGGCTACTTGCACAAGCATACAATATTTTTTTAAATAATTTTTAGGTCATAATCAAAATGTATGAAAGAACATTGCTTTTTGTTCTCTAAGGCCAACATAAAAGTAACATCTATTCTTTCATTTTAAATATTGGTAGAAAGCTGTAAATAAATTTTGAATAAGAATTTTGTTGGATACAAAGAAAGATAATTTTCAAATTAAACATTTGTAACAGCGGCCTTATCATTAACAAGAAAAAAGTGGAAGTGTTGTTCATCAACAAATGAAGATAATATATGGTTGGTCCATTATCTACAAGGTTTGATCATTTGCTTATTCTGGAATATTGTATATCAGATGTGAGCGACAGAGTTCATTTGGTGTGTAATACAAGGTAGTAGTTAAGATAGTCACATGAAGAAAACTGACATATACATGTAGTTAAATGAGAGAGACTTCTGGGAGAAATATTCCATAGATTGTATCAGTCAAGAGTTAGTCTATACTACTGGTTTCATCACTAGTTGATGTAAGTGCCTTTGTGTTGCTGCTGATGGCCTGGTTAAGCTTGCCTGCCTGCTGTGTGGTCTGACGCTAATGCCAACCTGATCAGGTCTGTCCTTGTGGTTGAAATTCGCATTGGCTTTATAGTGAGTCAATGGCTTAGAAGTGGCTTTTGTGAACACTGTGTGGACTTTTTCTGATTGGCCAAAAAAGATGCTCTTATGACCCTGGTATTTTTGGATGGTATTCCAGAAATGGGTACAGGGAGCTGGACAAAACTAAGCTCTGTTTTTGTCATATGAGCTGTGGATGTGGAAGAACACTACCGCTTGAGTATTGGAATATTGTGAATTTGAGTACCGGCAGAGTATGACACACTTTATTACTATTCATTTTAAAATTATTAAATCAACTTACAACCTTCTCTATAGACTTACTGAGCCATAAAATGAGCCAATGTCTTATCATCAATTAAAATTTTACTCCTTGCATTCATACCTATTTATTTTTAGGTAAACTACACATTTCTGCTGAAGTATGCAGTGCTTTGAAGAATGGTCAACCTGTTGTGGCTTTGGAAAGTACAATAATTAGCCATGGAATGCCATACCCACAAAATCTCAGGTAAATATTTCCAATTATAAATCTTAAATATTACCTACTTTATTGACTTCAGTCAAGATCATTGAGCCTCCCAAATCCTGCATCACAGTTAATTGCTAACTCTGTAATCTTTTCAATGGCTGTATATTATGTGCTTTATCAAGGCTACATATAATTTTAAATTCAGTGATGTTCTTCTAGACTGGTTGCCAACCAAGATGTGATTCCAGTCTGCTCTGCTATTTAACCTATTCCTGAGGAAGGAGTTATATCTTTCCAAAGGATATTTGTGCGAAAGTGAATGTAACAAACTGAACCAGAATTCAAACTCAACTCGTTAATTTCTTGTTTTCAGATGCTAACCATTACACCACCTTCACATCATCAATCTTAAATATTAACTATTTTTAAGAACTCTTTTTGTTAGGTATTTTGAAAATATAATAAGTTGTTGTTAAATGTTGCGTCTTGGACCTGGTTAGGTTTCTGATGCCACATCTTGGGTGATTCCTGTGGCTGAATGCTGAAAAGTGCTATGATCAAAAAGTGATTCTATTGTTGAAAATTTTAGAACAACAGAAAACATTTGAAGAAATCATTATGGTTTATTCATGTGCTTCTGTATTGAGATGGGACAGCTACTTTGGAAAATTGGGAAAACAAATAGCATGTCCCTCCTCATAGTACTAACAGGGACCTGCTAGCTCACAGGTGAAACTGTTCCTCTTTTATGGAGTCTGAACTCCTCCGTCCTGTCAGCTTAATTAGGAAAAATCATAAAGCACAACTCTCAGCCCTCACTCCTCCCAGGCCCAAATATTTCAGTTGAGACTAATCAGAGATAGTTAAGACTGTCATCGCACAAGTGTTTTGGGCTGTAATACCTAATTAAAGTGTCACATCTGATTAAAACTATATATCGCTCTGCATTTTCTTGTTTATGTTCAATATTTCCTAAACATTAAAAGTAAAATTAAAACAAGATAACTATTGATCCTCTGCCTTGTTGTCCAGCAGAAATGAGAACAATCTAGCCTTTGTATTAAATAAAGGATTCAATCTGAAATCCTCTGAACTTGGATTGAGAAAGCCAGACGACACAATGGCTAAGACATTGTGATGATAAAAACAATTATAATAAATTAAACTAATTTTATGATATACCCATATTATCTTACTTTAAAAGATTATTTATCTACAGATCCAATCATAATCTAAGAGTTTTTAGTATAAATATGTTGTGGCATTTCTATGATCTCAACAGAAGATTTCATGACACAGAACTGATCACTTTACCCAACTCTACATAGTAAATTCTTCTGATGTTACACACACACACACACACACACACACATATGAAATTGTGTATTTAGCCAGCAGTCCCTCTTTTATACAATTTTCATTAAAGACAACTGACAAGGTACTATGATTAACCATTTTATTCAATTTTCTTATGTTCATGTGAGTATTTTTTATGGAGACTAAGTGTGTAAAAACTGTCCAAATGTTCTATATATCCGAGTGTTTTCAGCTATTCTACTAGCCATTATCGAGGTTTTTTTTTTTTTTTAATTTTTAACTGAATATGTAAATTTTTATATATGTGTATCTACAGTTTTTTTTTTTTTTCTAAACACCGCATGTTGTGGCTGGGTTCAGAGTTAATATTATTGAGCATTGGCTTTTTCTTTTTATTATTAATGGCTCAATTAATTTTAACCTTTTTTTCCCCCCATTTTCTACATACTGGGCTACAGATTTACTGATTCTCTCTCACTTATGAAAGTAGAAGACAAAATGAAAGAATTCAATAAAATAAGACAAAAATAAATTCTAGACGTGAATTCTTACAAATAAAATTCCAGTTTCAAGGCTAAATTTTTTAATAAAAAGAATCTTATTGCTACTTCATTGGACAATCTGTTTTTGTCTTTTAAAATTTTCTAAAATAAAAGGTCATGTCAACTGAAATTTTTAGCCACAATCAGGAAAAAAACAATATATCAATGCATGTTCTTGTAATAAAAAAAAATTTAACGCCATAAAATGTCTATACAAAATTAACTAAAGAAACTTTCTTATTGTTAAAACAATGAATTTTAATTGCCATTTTTGTATTATAGAACTGCTCAAATGGTGGAACAAATTATTCGAGAAAATCACTGTGTTCCTGCAACAATTGCTATTATTGAAGGAAAGATCCATGTGGGTGAGCAGCTAGAATTATATCTTCATAGTTTTGGTCATTTTTGTTTTTTTTATCCATTGTAGCCAATAGCATTAAAGTTATGGTTATTTCCTCCAAATCTCTCATACTAACTAAAAGTGAAGAAATCCTTCATTTTAAAACTTGTATGTTAGACATACCAAATGTAAAACTAGTACAGTTTTCTTCTGTTAATGTATTGCATTGTAGAATACTGTTGATTTGTATAGCAAAGAAAACGGCGACTTACCTCGTCAAACCAAGTGACAATGTGTCAAGTGTATCCTACGACGGAAAATGTGGTGGAAAAGAAAATTACTTACCCCAGAAAAGGGGCACGTATTCCGCATGACATGCTGAAGACAGAATATTTAAATTAAAAAACAAGTCCATCGCAGGAGTCGCTATAAAAGTATTTTGATATGCAAAAATTGAGCGTTCTCTCCCAGCTGTCAATGAATGGAAAAAATGCTCGGCCGATAAAAGCAGTTGGTGTTCTCAAATTGAGGAGGAAATTAGGGTATCTTGGCTACGCGTTTGTTGGAGAGTGAGTTATTTTTCTGACTGGTTCAATGCATTGTGAGATAGTACCTGTGAATCGAGTTTTCAGCATTTCTTTCTACCCCCAATGTTCGAGTCTGAATTTAGTGATTTATTCTCTGCATTGTGGAAGTAATCTGCAACAAATATTTCCTTTGCAATCCCAGATCGCTTACAATTTGTAATCATTGATGTGATAAGGTTTCAATCAACACTGTCTTCCTTCAAGTTGATTAATGTTTAAGACTTATTCAGTTGCTATTTACATTCAAACCAATATCCTCTTTGTTATCACATTTCAGCCATTGTGCCTTCTGGTTTTCTTCAGGTGTCCCTGGACACAAACAGCAGAAATGAGAACAATCTACCCTTGTAGATTAAATAAAGGATTCAGTCTGAAGTTCCCTGAACTTGGATTGACAGATACCTGAAGAAAGCCAGAGGACACAATGGCCAAAACATTGTGATGATAAAAACAAAAATGTAAATAACTCATTATCCCAAAAATTCAAACAGAAAAGAAAATTACTTAGTTGCCATGTAAATATTTTGTTTTATTGATTTTTTTTTCCAACTTAGGGCTCCAAGAGAAGCAATTGGAACAACTGGCCCATCCATCTTTTAAATGTATCAAGACAGCCCGTAGGGATCTACCTTACATCATGGCAAAGGTAAAGCTATCTTGATTAACAAATAGAAAAGTTTATACACCATGTTGATAGGATGTGAACTTATAGTTTATTTTTGTTACTCTGGAAGAAGTGGTCAGAAGAAAATACAAAACTACTGCACTTCAGTGCATATAACATTTAAAAATTTCATTTTATCAAAAGTTTTAAATAAGAATTTTCATTTTTCAATGTTAACATTATAATTCAAAATGATTCTGTAACTTTTTTAAAGCAAGGAAAAATTAATTTAATTATATTTTAAAGCAAGGAAAATTAATCTAATTATATTTTATTTATTGTAATAATATGGGTATTTTGCTTTGAACAAAACTTATTTGTCTTTAGAAAACTTCACTCATCTTTAATTGTCTCTATCCTGTTTAAATTAAAAGTATCTGAAAAAAACAAAACAAACAAAAACCACTAAATTTTAACTCTTTTTGGCATGAATATTACAAACATACATTCTACGTTTTGTTAAATGGTTCTGGAATTATTTTTGCTATTATTTTTAATCTATTATTTACATTCAGACTAACATTAGAGTTAAGACTCTCAGTTCTAGATTCAGGAATAAAACATTGGTTTGTGAATTTAGTGATATAGTAATTGTGAGTTCAACCCCTGGGCAGGGCAGTGTGTACTTTGATTTGGTGGAAACAGGGCAAGCAATAACTGAGCATGAGCAGTAAAAAATAAGAACTAGTTGAGGCATCCCTAGGCAGGGGCAATGAAATGAAAAACTACTTTTGTTGATTAAATAGAGAGTACAGTAGGCTATCTGGATCAACAGAGACCTGAAGAAGTCTGTGGAGCACAACAACCAAAACATTGGGATAATAACAACAAAGATAAGGACATTAATCTAAATTTAAATAATGATAACTCATCATCAAAGAAATTAAGATACAAAATCTATCTTATTGTCACATTTCATTGTAACAGTCTGGGTTGGAAAACTCTTTGATTGCTTGAGCAAACAGCATGAAATATGAGAGGAAAAAATGACAATTATTACAGATTGTGTTTGACTTAGCTTTCAAGATCAAAGTGATTAAAGCAACATCCATGACAGACTGGCACTTACAGTATGAGACGTGAATTTAAGTTATTTCTAATTTTAAACTATTTGCATGTGAAACTGAAGTGTATATCAAATTGAATGTTGTGATGAAAAACAACAAAACTAGTAATAAAATAATAACTTGTAACATCTGAGAAAATTTCAGTTTTTCTCTTTGAATTTTCTGATGAATCATAATTCTCAAGTTAATGATTGAATCAACTGCTAGTGAGTTTTACTAATATCAAATAATTGAAAATTCCCCTATTCCATCATTTAAATATTATTAATAACTTTAATAAAATATTGCAATTACAATCATAAATTTCATGAAGATGATATTCATGATATCACGTGAAGAAACAATCCTAAGTTTATGTAGGGTGCTTAGTCTTCATATATTCAGATGAACAGCTTTTGAAGTGAGAAAAACACAAACACCTGTACTATTTAAATGTATTTAATATACAAACAGAAAAAAAAAGAGAAATAAGGAAAAAAGTGGTTGTAGATAATGTGCATCTGCAGACTTGGCTTAGGTGAAATGCCTCTACTTGTGAACAACCCTTGTTGAAGGAGAAGTCCCTTTCATTCCTTGGCTAGCTTCTTTTGGTAATAGTAATTTCCCTTGAAGTTGCTGGCATCATTCCTCCATAACTTGATAGCACTGACTATGTTTGTGATGAGGGAACAGTGTTGCTTTGTGCTGCTTGATTAACATAGTGAAGGAAAAAGAGAATGAATTTTAAAATTTGGTACATATAGTCCAGGTCATTTGACTCTTATGCAAGAAGTAAGTGATCCTTTCTTTAGCTATTCAGCCTCTTCATTTTTATTCTTCGCTTGATTAGTCTTATTTTTATGATTGTTTATTCTATATTCCAATAGTATGAATGCAGGTCATTATTTAAAGAAGTAAGAGGGTACAAATGAACAGATTTGAAATTGACAAGTTTTTTCATTTCACTGAAGCAGACTTCAAACACATGAATGCAATATTGCCTCCTCTATTTTCTCTTTCTTTTTCTCACTGAAACCAAAAGGCACTTTTGATATATCTTTTCTCATGATCAAAATGGAATAGTTCATTATTGGTTAGTTCCAATGAGACATGCACTAGATTTGTTTATATATTCATTGTGCCCAAATATTATACTCTCCCCATCTTTCTTTACATTCAAGCCAATATACTTAAAATTAGTCAATTCTTCTGATTTAATTTTGAAAACTTTATGAAAGTCCATAAAAATAGAATGAAAAAATACCTGATCAAAAACAGAAGTCATCAACATGAGTGGTGATAATGCCACACTTAAAATACTATGTAAAAATGACTTGGTCATATTTTGAAAGAAGTGTTCTCATTTTATTTGTTCCTATCTGACCATTAAATATCATACATGAAAAGTATCTGTCAACAATAGAAGTTGTCTCATCTCACCAACAGGAGTTATGGCCCTTGTTTTGCAACTATACAAGGTGGCCATATTTCAAATACAAACCAGGCCAAAACTCCCCACCCCTCAACCTTTAAGCTTGATTGGAGATCCCTGGAAGTACTCTGTGACCTTCACTATCTTATCCACATTTGCTTTTTTCTACCTACATTTCAAATTAAACTAAGGATCACAGACTATTGAAGGATGAAAAATTTTTGTTGATTTTGACATCATTTTGAGGGTCTTTTTTCTTTTCTTTTTTTTACTGTTCAAATCTGTGAATTTATTTTGCTCATGCTAAGTCTTTAAAAAACACTATATAAAATTTGATATTTTTTACATAATGTTGAAAGTTAAAATTATTCAACTTTTTAACAAGACAAAATCTCAAGTTAATGCTAAAAATTGCTGCAAAACATTGTTGATTTATTTAAGATGTATTATGATGTTTCACCTAATTTGTATTTAGATACATTGTATTTATTTTCACTTTTTTTTAGTTGAATTGTTTACCTATATTGTGTATGATGAATTATTGTATATAATTAGGTTACAATAAAATTTGTATTTTGAATGATTACTACCTTATGAAAATTGAGATGTAGTAGAGTAAGGGGCCCCCATATCATAGGTTGTGGGGGCACAAGACACTTGCATCAGCCCTGAATATGAGTATCCACTATAATAACATTTGAAGTAATGTTGGCTTAAAAATAAATCCATTTTTTAGAAATATATATCTAATCTTATTACTACAAACATTATTTTAGTGGACAGACATTTTGATATCTACTGACCTAGAGTTATTAAAGAAGATATAGCTCTCAGCAGAGATTGAACCTGCATTCCTTTTATTTGGAGACCAACTCTAGCCCTTCTTTATTAAGACTTTCAATGATCTAAGCCAGTGTATTCAAACATTTTTTACTGCGATCCACAGCACCACATTTTACATTGCGACCCATTATACCTATGTGCAATAAATCAAAGACAAACTTTGTTCACTAGGTTTATTTATTTAGCATCAACAATTTATATGTATATTTCTTATGATCTGAACATATTGGAATTGCATGTATCTGTTTGTATTATCTATTTGTATGAGTATAAAATTATTACTTTTAAAAAAACAAATTTAAAAAAAATTTCTGTCACTCAGTCTGCAACGAGTTTGACAAACAAGATACAGAAACTCAATGATTACAGACACACACACACACACACACACATATATATATATAAGCTGCTTACCTGATAACTCTACTCTGCATCTAAAACCTGGGAGATATATTTTTTTATAGAGTTGAGGAAGTGGGATCATCAATACTGGTAATATCATTTGCAAAAAATAAAAATATTGTGTTAGTTTTCAAGTGCTTATTGATATAAATTATTGTTTGAGAAATTATTCTTTACAAAACCTTTGATACTTAAGAGAAATCATTTGATAATTTCAGAAATTAAATGGAGGAACCACAGTTTCAGCCACAATGCTTTTGGCACAGAAAGCTGGAATTCCCATCTTTGTGACTGGTGGAATTGGTGGAGTTCACAGAGGAGCAGAATCAAGTAAGGAACTTGAATGTTTCAATGACTAAACTGACAATTTTTTTTCTTTATTAGTTCTGTTTCATTTATCATTGTTGCTTTTGATTTTGATTATCACAGAATTCGTCTGATATTAATATTTCCAAATTATTATTACTTTATGAAAAACTTTGTAGTGAAAATTGTCTATCTTAAAAAAAAAAATGAATCAAGAGAAGCGTACGATTAAAACAAAGTCTCAGTGACAAAACAGCATAAATATTTCCAATTCAATCAGAATCAATCGTGTAGGGCATTTTCCAATTCCCTATCTGGAATCTATATGAGTCTTTAAATACAGCACATTTCAGTGACTTTCTTATTAGTAATAATGGTCACTGATGTTATCAATAAGTCACAGATACACAAATTGACACTACACCTTAATTACTAAAAAGATTAGTGTGCACTGAAATTTTTTTGGCTTGATGGAAAGGGATTCTTCACCTCAAAAAAAAAATAAAGTTAAAGAATATAAGAAAACTGTAAAAATCTGAGGTTTGGTCGGATTTTTGTAAGTGGGTCAGGCTAAGAACTTTTCAGTGTCCCAATGTAAAAGTTCATATTTTCACTATTCATGTTCTTCTTTATGTTCTGTGTCCCCTCAGGATGTAGACGTTCACAGCTCTCCACAATTTCCTGTCCTTTGTAGCTCTTAATAAATTTTGTCTTTTTGTTATTTCTCATAAACCTTGCTCAGCCATCCACTCACTCATGCGCACTAAATATGTCATGTGCTGTTTTCCTCTGTCAGTCTTGCCTTCAATCTGTCTGATGAGTATCAGATTTTCCAAGTCCTCTTCACACAAATACATCTCAATATTATGATGGACACTTGAAAAATTTTCTAATTTTGTGAAAACTATTACAAACGTCTTTACTGTTATAATATTTATTTTCTATTAAATTTAACTCTTAAAGACCATTATTCATTGTTGTAAACTCAGTGTCTTAATACCACAAGGACTCTTCAACCGTTTGACATGCTATACTCCAGGTAATAATAACCTTTCTTTATCCTTACTATTTTGTTTATTCCTATTCACTAGATGCTTCTCCTCAATGTCATGTGATCTTAATTTTCATATCTGCTTTATCTCAAACTACATCAGTTGCTAGAGACAGGAACAATGATCAAAGAAAATGAACACTTTTCTCTCACATCCATTTCATCAAAATACCTGAAGTCAGTATCACTTAACTTTTATTCTGTTTAGAACACAAACTGTTGTCAAATTTACATGCAATCTAAATGCAAAATTTATTGGTGCACTATAGAGGAATTTACAAAATTCCTGTATAATTTCGCTAAATGAAAAGCAACTCTTTAATATAAACAAAAGCATTTGGCTTAAGTATATTGCATTGAAAATATATCTTTTTAAATTATAACTTGTGAAAGTTTTTCATTTGTGTATGTATATTTGTTGGTCTATTCATAAAAAATCTCAATAAAATTTCAGCTTTTTGTTCTTTATATTTTTACTAATGTAAATATTTTTTACTATTGCGTTTCTTTCACTGATATCATTGATGTTTTATTTTCTGCAAAAATATTCTTAGAGGTAAACATTTGCTGAAAATTAGTTTGATTAAAAAAAGATTGGAATATTTTTTAAAATTAAATTGAATTCTTAAATTTTATATCTGTTCACTTAAGTTTATTTTATCAATATCAACTAACTTGTTTCATTTTTTTTCTTTCTCCCTTATATATATATATATATATATATATATATATATATAGGGAGAAAGAACAAAATGAAACAAGTTAGTTGATATTCGTCTAATTCTGAATTAGTTGTTTTATGCTATCATTAAATTTGCCAAAGTTCATATTTATTTTATATATTATTATTTCTTTTTCTTGTTTACTTTCGAATGTTGCTACATGCATTTTCAAGGATTGTTTTGTGTATATTAATACAACTGTTATTTTAATTCCAGTGCTTTATTGTTTAATGGAACCAATTTCAAGTCACTCACACAATATGACATTTAAATGGTCAAACTAAAATTTTTGTGTGTAAGTTTTTCTTTTTAAACACACTTCATAGGGGACCATATTTAAAAAAAAAAATACACATAAAAATCATAGTTTGACTGTTTAAATTATGTTACCTTGAGTGATTTGAAATTGGTTTCATCAGACATGATAGTGCTGGAATTAAAAAAAAATTGTTGTGCAAATATAAACAAGACACAATCCTTGAATTATGAATGTAACAACATTTGAAATTACTTGGTGGGGAGTAGTAATATAAAATAATTATATAACAATTATTTAGCAGTCAGTCAACCTGATCTTTCTTTTTAGTAATTAGATCCTGTTCTGTTATCAGGATTTGTGTTATCCTAGCACCAGAATCTCTCATTAGTAAGCAGTGTAGATCAGGCTGCTAATACATTGCTTTTTATTTCTTTTGTTTCTTGTTAACTTATGTAGTGATAGAAAATAAGTTCACTATTTTAAAAAAAATAAAAAATCCAGAACTAAAAGTTGGCAAAGCATTTTGGTTTGTGTTGGGGCGCACCCACCTTCTAACTAGTAATGGACTGGTCCCTCTTATATAAGTCAGCTCTGGAGAGAGAGTGACAGAGCGTCAGAGAGAGAGTCAGCGTTAGCAGTCCAGATAAGCTTACCCGGTACATACCGTTGGACTATAGACTTTGGATATTGTTTCGTACTAACCAACCTTCATTCTACTAATCACTCTATTGTTAATTGCCTTCATGAATATACCAGTATTTTCCTCTACAACTGTGTTTGTCTTGATTCTTACACCAATATGCGGGAAACTCACAACATCTCAACAGTGGCGACATGGCTTCGAACAGAAATAATAACCGATTTCCAACACGGAAAAATTTTAAAAGAGTTCAAGCATTTACAGCAAAGGATTACAAGTTATCGACAAAAAGAAAAAACTGTAAGTTAGACATTAACTTATTGATTAAATTGGAAGCTATAATAACCAATTTTTTTTGCTAAAAAAAAAAAAAAAAAAAAATTGTCGTGCCAGAAAATTTGAATTTTTTGGCCCCCCTCAGAGAGAAAAAAAAAAACACATAATTTTTCTTTTTTCTCTACACATACATAATCATGGAGCAATTTCAATCAACTATGCTGGAACTCATTAAGTATCAGATGCAAAGACAGCAAGAGAGTGAAGAACGTTTTCAGAAAGAGCAACTTAAAATTCAAGAAGAACAACTTAAATTTCAGAAAGAGCAAAAGGAAGAAAACGCAAAACGATTTCTGGAACTACACAAAATACAAGAAGAAAATGAAAAGAAACAGTTAGCAATGGCCGAACTTATACATAAAGCTATACTGTCCAAGCAGAAAGACTCGGATGAAAATATTTTTTCCCAAGACACAATATGGTCAACGATCGAAAGTTTTACTTATAACCCAGAAGAGGAAAAAGACTTTTTCGAAAGATACTACCATAGATATCAGGATTTTTATGAAGTTGATTGCCAAACATGGACAGATGAGAAAAAAATAAGATTATTGCTACGAAAACTGGGAACGGCAGAACACAACAAGTTTACAGATTTTATATTGCCCAAAAAGACAAGAGATTTAAAATTCGATGAAGCAATTGAATTATTAAAAGAGCTTTTTAATCCCAGATTTTCATTATTTCACAAAAGGTGGAAATGCCTGAATATCCAAAAAAGCGAGGAGGAAGATTACACAACATTCAAGTCAATCATAAATAAGGCGTGTGACGATTTTCGCTTGTCCCGAATTATCGGCAGACAATTTCAAGTGTCTAATATTCGTGCTGGGCTTAGTGTCTAAAAAAAGATAGTGAAATGCGAAGACGCATTTTAACAAAACTAGAAAAATGACCAAAACATGACACTACAAAAAGCTAGCTGAATACTGTCAGCAATGCGTAAGCATTAAGCAAGATTCAGAAAAATAGAAGAAACTGCTATCGCAAATGTGAAGAAAGTATATAGGAAGACTAGTTTCAGTTCTCCATCGCCGGAACGGAAGTGGTATCCTACTACAAGAACGAACAGAGGCTATAGAAAAAAAACCCCTCCGAGTGCATGTTATGGATGTGGCCAGTGGCACTGGTACAATGACTGCTCATATAAAAATAAAGCGTGCAGAAATTGCAAAAAAGTAGGACATAAGATGTCAAAGTGTAAAAAATTAAACAGAAGTCGAGTAAAAGTTACCAAGTTAGACGAAGATCAAGACCTGAATATTCGAAAATACCTGCATGTAAAAATGTACAACAAGAAGGTAAAAATGCAACTAGATTCAGGATCTGACATTTCAATCATTAACACGCAAACATGGAAAAATCTAGGAAAACCAACGTTGCTAAAATCCAACAAAATAGCCAGGACGGTAACTGGGAAAAAGATAAAATTTGAAGGGGAAATATGGGTAAATATAACTTTCAACAATAAGTCGATAAAAATGAAAATGTTTGTAATGAAAAACACAAACAACCTGTTTGGGACTGACGCAATCACTAAGTTCAACCTATGGGACGTGCCCATTAGTTCTTTTTGCCACAACATTAGTGAAAGCAAAGACCATATAAAAAAATCTACAAGCAGAATTGAAAACGGAATTCCCGAAGTTTTTGCTGAAGGACTTGGACGTTGCACTGAAGCATCAGCAAAAATACAGCTGAAGAAAAATATCCAACCAATTTTTTTTAAAAAAAGCGTAGCATCCCTTTTGCCGCATTAGAGAAAATTGATCAAGAACTCGAAAGACTAATGAGAATTGGTGTGATCTCGAAAACAGAATACAGTGACTGGGCAGCTCCGGCTGTCTACGTAAAAAGAAGAAGTCGGCGAAATTCGCGTCTGCACCGATTTTTCAACGGGTTAAACGACGCAATAGAAGAGTTTCACTATCCACTACCAAGTCCCGAAGAAGTGTTCGCAAAGTTAAATGGCGGAAAAATCTTTTTCGAAAATAGATCTTAACGAGGCATACTTGCAAGTACCCATGGATAACGAAAGTGCAAAGTTACTATGTATTAACACACATAAAGGCTTTTTAGATACGAACGGTTTACCGTTAGAATTGAAGACAGCACCCGCAATATTCCAGAAAATTATGGATACGATGTTATCCGGGTTAGACTACACAATAGCATATCTCGACGATATTCTTGTAAAAAAGTGAATCGGTGGATGAACACAAACACCATTTACGCAAAAGTTTTTGAAAGGTTAAGAAGATATGGATTTCGGTGAAAGAAAACAAATGTGATTTTCTCCTGGAAGAGATCAAGTATCTGGGACATATAGTGAATAAAGAAGGAAAAAGCCAGATAAAAGTCGAGCTTCAGCAATAAAAAAATATGCCTGAGCCAAAGGATATTAAATCCCTACAGTTTTTTAGGCTTGGTGTCATATTACCAGGACTTTATCCCAGACCTCCACATTCTACGAGCTCCCCTTAACGATCTACTAAAAAAGAAAAACCTTGATTTGGACAAAGAATGCGAGCAAGCATTCAAGGATATAAAAGAAAAATTAACTTCAGATTTATTTCTTGTACATTTTGATCCAAAGGTAGATATCATCGTGGCGAGCGATGCCAGTACACACGGCGTGGGTGCGTGCATATTGCACAAGTGGAAGAATGGAAAAAGTTCGACCGATCGCTCATGCAAGCAGATCGCTACTACCTGCTGAACGAAACTATTCACAAATTGAGAAAGAGGCATTGGCGATTATCTTCGCTGTAACAAAATTCCATCGATACATACATGGACGGTTTTTTCATGCTACAGACAGACCACAAGCCTCTGGTAACGATATTCGGCTCAAAAAAGGGTCTGCCAACTTACACCCGCAAATAGATTGCTTAGGTGGGGGACAATTTTATTAAATTATAATTTCAGAATACAATATTTGTCCACCCACAAAATTGGTCACAGATGGGCTATCAAGACTCATCCCAAAAGCAACAGAACCTTTAGAGGATACGGTAATCGCTTCCCTCAGAGCAGAGGACGAGGTTGAAGAAAATTTGGCAAACGCAATCTGAGAATTACCAGTATCGCTTAAGGACATCAAAAAAAGAAGCAGAAAAGACAAATATATAATAGAAGTAAAAAATAAGCTAGCCAGTAAAGATGAAAAAATTCAAGAGACATTCTCTCTGTGCGATAATGTGCTATTATACAGTGAAAGGGTGGTAATCCCTAACACACTCCAAAAAAGAATACTGAAAGACTTTCATGCTGGTCACCCGGGCATAAATAGAATGAAGAGCCTCATGAGAGCATACGTCTACTGGCCAGGTATGGACAACAACATCGCGTCTATGGTCAGCAGATGTAAAGGCTGCATTTTGGCATCAAAATCACCACAAATTCTACAGAAGCCATGGCCAAAACCGACAGGCCATGGTCAAGGATTCACATTGATTTTATGGGTCCAATTGACGGATGGCATTATTTGGTCGTAGTCGACAGTTTTAGTAAATGGCCCGAAGTTTTTCAAATGAAGAGGCCAACATCTCAAAATACAATAAACAAATTACATGAATTATTTGCAAGGTTTGGGGTGGTAGATACTGTTGTTAGTGACAACGGTACCCAATTCACAAGCAAAGAATTCACAGAATTCTGCCAAAATTTCCAAGTTGATCACGTGAGGATTCCTCCGTATCACCCACGCAGCAACGGACTAGCCGAAAGGTTCGTCGATACACTGAAAAGAGCTCTTAGGAAAGCAACAGGTACCCCGACTAGAAAGGCGTTACAGCTATTCCTGCAAGTGTACCGAATTACCCCGAATAAATTTGCCCCATCACGCCTATCACCTGCGGAACTAATGTTCGCAAGAAAGGTCAGATCATTTTTTGACAAATTGATACCAAAAAATAAGGTACACTCAACAGTCGCTATGGTTCCCAGGCGAAAATTTAACATTAATGAAAAATTTTTTCAAAAATTATACAAATAATGCAACATCATGGGAACCAGGGTCATAAAAAACGCATTCGGGATATGGTATACATTATACAAGGAAACAAATTTACACACAAACGGCACATTAACCAGTTGAAGAAAAGAAAGACCGACGAATCGGAAGTAATTCCACAAGAAGACGAATTACATGAATTGTTTGATACGTTTGACCTGCAAATACCGCAGACTGAGCAGAAACAACGCAGATCTGCAAGAAAACGTAAAGCGACACAAAATTTAATAATAGACCCGAAAAGGAAAAAATATTAATTTTTTTTTCTCCCCACAATGAAAAAGAAAAAAAAAAACAATTTTAGGGGGGGGGGCGCACCCACCTTCTAACTAGTAATGGACTGGTCCCTCTTATATAAGTCAGCTCTCAAATGAGTCCTGTGAAGTAATCAGAAATCAAGAAACAATTCTGGAATGAATTCCTTTGTCTTGGAAAAGTGTAAAAACAGACACAGATGACCAGGAAGCAGAAAGTTGATGAAAGAATTTGGTCCGTTCTACCATGCCTTAGATTTTCAAACAACTAAAAATCCTACAGTGAGTTGAAAGGATTAATATTATCAATGTGATACATACATACATACATACATACATACATACATACATACACATTTACAAGGACTCTTTTCTCTCTCTATTATATGCTAAAGGTCTTAGACATTCAACTTTAGAACTTTCTGATATGAATTTATGAGCTCTTTAAATATTGTATATTTTAATTTAAGAGATATAAAATTTTATCAGTACATGCAAAATATATCTTTGTACTATCTTTGCATGCATTTTTAAAAGGCCAAAAATTGCTGTATATTTGGATTAAGGTGGTTATCCGAAGATAATCACCTGTAAACACATAATCCTCCAAGTAAAAGCCCACATTATCACATCAGGGTCACCAATGTTGGCATGGGAGAACAGGCGAAATTCTTTCATCGACTTTGTGTCCATTGCCTGGTCATCTCTATCTGTTTTTACACTTTTCCAAGACAAAGGAATTCATTTCAGAATTGTCTCTTGATTTCTGATTGGTTCACAAGACTCATTTGACCATCCCTTTTTCTTTACCTCCATTTAGGAATGATGACCTTTTGGACTATTTTATTTCTTTATATTTTTTTTTCTTTTCTTTTTGTTCTTATTTCTTTATAGCAAATCAAAATGGTTTGCCAACTTTTATTTTTTTATTTTTTATTTTTGTTTTTTGAAATAGTGAACTTTTCTTTCTAGCGCTACAAGCTTTATTCAGATATTTTTACTTTTTAATGCTTTAAAAAGCAGAATTATTATATTATGACAAGAGAGTTTACTGAAGAGAGAAAATCCTATATTAAAAATACAATATAACCAATGCAATTACAAAATTAAATATGGACATTTTTTTCTTTTTTAATAGTACTGGTTAACTGGTATATGTATAAATATATTATTGTATCAGAAGTAATTAAAACATCACAATATTGGAGATCAACTCAGAATTTAGTGATTTCTGCCTTGTCAGGACCCAGACAAGAATGATTGTATTAATTATTACAGAATACATATTTTATTATTTTATAAACATATACACTAAATTAATATTATAAAATGTATATTCCATAATGATTAATATAATCATTCTTGTTTAGGTACTGATGAGTTGACCTCTGATAAATATTGTGAACTTCAAATAATTCTGATATAATAATTATGGTTCTAAATAACTATTGAGCAATTTAATGGCAGAAATTCTTTTTGCCTTGAGATACATTGAATTATATCAGTTGGTGTAATTATTATTATTGTATTATGAAAACGTAGACTCTCGACTTTCATAATTGATAATTATTATTCGCTCTCTTATTACATTGAGCTCTCTCTGGATCTATATCCTCTTTGGAATTATCTATACAGATTACCAAATAATAATTTATATATATATATATATATATATATATATATATATATATATATATATATATATATATATATATATATATATATAAGTGGACATTGAGGTCAACACCCAGCAGCAGTAGTCTGTTTCATACTTAAACACAATCATGCCATGATAACTGCATTTAAGCATGAAACAGACTGTCGCCACTCAGTGTCCACTTTTAGATTTAGATTTGCTCTATCCCTAATATTGAGCACCTTAACCCATAAATTTAGCATACATTAAAACTATATATATATATATATATATATATATATATATATATATATATATATATACACACACACACAACTATAATGTTATGAAGAGATTACATGTATCAAAATAGTCCAAACTGAGCTCAAATAAAATTTACAGCAGAATTTAAATTAACAACATTAACATTAATTTTTTTTACAGTAGGTTGTCATGAGTAAATTCCATTTGCAAGCTAAATATTAAATAGAAGACATTAATTTTAGTGACCTATTTTAACAGGTGTTCATTCGGCTTGGCCAAGAATAGTTTTAATACTAATTTTGAAAATAATTAATTTTTATTTTTCAAGTTGGGAATTAATGAAAGGAAAAAAAGCAGTAAAAGTTAAGATTGAACTTCCTTGGAACTTAAATCTACCAGTGATTTTAAAATAATTAATGATAAATATTTTGAAACCTGAATACATTCCTCTCCAAGGTCATCATGAAACTGTTTTTTTTGTTTTTTTAAATAAACTTCTTTTTCTTTATAGCCATGGACATAAGTTCTGATCTCACAGAACTTGGCAGAACACCTGTCACTGTTGTGTCTGCAGGAGTGAAGTCTATTTTAGACATTGGAAGAACGTTGGAGTATTTGGTTAGTGGCTTATCTTTTCTGGATGAGATTATCAAAATCTTTTCAGATATTAGATCATTCAGAAAGTAATATTGCATTTTTGGTAATTGAATCGATAAAACAAAATGTTCACATGTAGTAAAAGGTAAATTTGTCAATAACCATATTAAGCTAATTCTTTTATTCCATGTTGAAAGAATTTTAGACTTGGGCTGGAAAGAATCTTAATGCTGAATTGATCTTTCTTATATTTAAAAGTTTTGCTACTAAGAAAATTTTCTAACAAACTTTTAAATAAAAATTTGAAAGTGTTAAATTCATGGATGCTGAGGTAGATCCTCTTAATTTAATGATTTGAATTTATTCAGTTTGTTTGGTTATTCTTCATAATGACAGCTTCTGTTGACCAAATCAGGACAATTTTTATATAAATCTTTACTTGTTCTTGATGAAAAAAATATGCAGTGACTGTCTTACTTTATTCTAAGTGCTTGTAATGGACAGAACCTATCTGGTTTTACAAACTGCTCACCAATATTTACTGAAAGAGATGGAGCTTTGGTTTAGATATTAACATAAATACTTCATTCAAAATGACACATTCTTTTGAGAATGTACACTGCTAAATTCAGTATAAATTATAAAAATGAAAATAAAAAATCTAGTTTTATAGGTTTCTAGAAAATTCATTATTAATTATAGATTTCTAAAAAAAAAAAAAAGTTTGGTATCAATTATAGATTTCAAAATCTGGTGTCAATAATAGATTTCTAAAAAAAACAAAATTTGGTGTCAATGATAGATTTCTAAAAAAAAAAAAAAATCTGGTATTATAGGTTCTTACCTATAACACATTAATAGCCACTATCGCCAAAATGGGATAAATATTTAGTTTCATTGAAAGGCATTTGTCATTGTTATTAATGACTAGCAGTAGAGCCCCGCGTTGCCCAGGGATGTAACAGTAAGAGATAGATCAAGTATCGACCATCATAAAGACTGAAAAATAAAATTGACAAAGATTATTGTTTAAGGTTGACGGACATGCATGTCTTAATTAGTTTTTTTTTTTTTTTTCTTTTTTTTTTTTAATTGGTCAAACCCAAACCCAAACAAAACATTGTTTTCAATCGTTATGAGTCTATCGATTGAATAGAATTTTATTATAAACAATTGTCTTGTAAATGGAATTTTTAAAGCATTCTGAATGTAAAAATAAAGAAAAAAAGTTTGCAAGACAATAAGAAACACTACCTGCCAAAAAAAAAAAAAGTGAAGTTTTGTTGAAATCGGTTGAAAAATGTAGGAAATCTGATCCCATATATAAATGAACGCACACTCACACAAACAACCTGGGTTTTATAATAAGTATAACTCGATATGAGTTGTCCCCCTTTCATTCTGGTGACAGAATCGTGTTTTATCGTGTTTTCAAATTGATTTTGTGCAAAAACTATTGTGTTTTTCCAATTTTTGGCACTGTCAGAACCACCGCAAGGTAATTTTATGTATCCTGTGAAGTTTTGTTGAAATTGGTTGAAGAATGTAGGAAATCCGATCCAATATATAAACGTACAGACACACACACACACAACCTGGGTTTTATAATAAGTAAGATAATTAAGTTTTCAATGAATCACATTTGGACAAGGTTTAATTCTCTCTTCACAAATGTAATATTCCAAACAACCTAATATTTTCTTGAAAGCAACTTTTGTTAAGGCCATTACAATCCTTAAAGTGAATACTGTACTGTACTGTACTGATGCGGCATTCACCCTGGGCGGATTGAGCCGGCTTCTTCCTGTTATGAGAAGAAGATTCTTGGGATAAATTACAGAAGTAGGGTACCCAGGCCTACTCGGATAACGTTCTTGCTTGCCGCGGGGTTCCCACAGACGCAGAGACAGGAACGACCAGAAGCCGCCCGTTACCGATGCAGACGCTCCTTGGATTTTCACCAGAGCCCTTGTTAGCGGCATGTGTGTCAGACCTGTCCGCCTTGGGTGGCCCCTACCAGGAACAAAGTTCGGGCGCATAGCTCTGACACTACCGTTTACACCCCCCACCGACTGTGAGGTAAGAGTTGGACTTTGGGGGCTTACAGTACCAGGTGTTCCCAAGCAGTCCCCATCTAAGTACTGACCTGGCTCTACGATGCTTAACTTCGGTGATCGTACGAGAACCGGTGTTTCAGCGTGATTTGACCGTAAAGTGAATACTGCCAATAATTTATTGACTTACATGGTGATATTGTTTAGCAAGACAATATTAATCAGTTAATGTGTAATATACCTTCTGTCATGTGATCTTCATTGTAGCTAAAATACTTACACATTTTTTCACTGGTGTCAAAGGTCAGTTTTTGAGCCCAAGTAAAATGCCAGGATTTCAAATGCCAATTTTCAAGGACTTCCTATTTAGAAAATTGGTGGAACACACTCTTCATCCTTGACATTAATCCCTTTGGTTTTATGTTTACTATGCTAAACTTATAAATGTGCAGGTAGTGTAATGGATATCAACACAGAAAATATAATCAGTGGGCTGAATTCAAATTCTGGACTAGTTTGTTACATTCACTTTCACACCAATGTCCTTTGGAAAGGCATCAATCTGTCTTTTCTCTCCTCAACTGTAGCAGGGTAGACTCTAATCTTGGTTGGCAACCAGTCTAAGAGAAAGACAACTCTGAATTCAAAACAAGCCTGAAAAGAGATGGGCTCTTTCGAGCTTCCTTGCCTTTTGACACAGCGACTGTTGCTGTAGCAGAAGTGGGTGTGGTGCTCCTATTGACCCTAATGGACTGAGGGACTCATGACATAACATGAAGCTAAAGTTACTGTCATAAAATTGAGTAAATATAATTTTTGTGTTTCATTTCATGAAATCTTTTTCTTTTTAGTTGGTTTTTGTTTTATTATGTTTGTTATAATCCAGATGATGCATTTATTTTCTTCTGTTCTTTTCAAAAATTATCTCATCAAAAATTGCAAGGAAAAAATTGTAATTTTTTTTTTCTTTTCAGGAAACCCAAGGAGTTTGTGTGGCATCATTTGGACCAACCACCGATTTCCCAGCATTTTTCACTCCCAAAAGTGGCTTTCATGCACCAATGAATGTGAAGAACCCTCTAGAAGCAGCTCAGCTCATTGGTATAAAGAATATTTTCTTTGCAACAAATTACGCAATAATTATTTTGATTAGATTCACTTAAAATGATTACTTCACTATTTATGTATTGGTAAAAAGTTTTAGTTGGCAATAATATAAGTGACAGATGGCTATAAAAAGGCAGTGTTGATTATTTACGGCTAATTAGCTCAGCTCATTGGTATAAAGAATATTTTCTTTGCAACAAATTACGCAATAATTATTTTGATTAGATTCACTTAAAATGATTACTTCACTATTTATGTATTGGTAAAAAGTTTTAGTTGGCAATAATATAAGTGACAGATGGCTATAAAAAGGCAGTGTTGATTATTTACAGCGAGAAGAAGAATGAGGAGAGAAGATAACTACCTCCTGAGTGTAGAACTCATCTTACAGCATCTCAACTGCATATCACCACATTTTCTGGAACCTTAGAAGCTTTATGCCTTTGGTAACTCTGCTACTTCTACGAACCACTCCAGGAGGTGTCTCATTTGTCTCATGGTGATTGCCTAGATTTTCTTCACTTGAATTGTCCTTGCGTTCCTCATTCTCTCTTCCTCTTCACTCTCTAATTCTTGGTGATAATCCTGGTCCCTATTTTCTGCATCAACTTCTTCCTCCATTTCAATATCTTCCAGCTCTCTTTGCAATCTAAACTGGTCTTCATGAACTAAGACACCCTGTCAATTTTTGTTAATACTGCTGTATTATATACTTTTTGCATTACAAATTGTGCTTTCTCAGGATTCGAATCCTTATTCCTTTTATACCATACACTCTCATTTGTTGAGAAGGACATGGTTATTGGGGCTCTAATTTGCTTTCCCATTAATGCCAAGCAGAATGGTCCTGTAACCTAAAAGCAACCTTGATAGATAACTTTCAAGGCTGTATTTCCCTAGAGAGAATGCTTTCAATCCAACTGTTATTGACTGGACCATCCTCTCTGCAATTCCATTTGACTGAGGATAGTATGGGGATGTTTTGTATGGCCTACATCCAATTTGTGTTAACCATGTACATAAGCTTTCTTTAGCAAACTCTGGTGCATTATCTGATACCAATGTCTTCGGTACTCCATTCCTCTTAAATACTTCTCTTAACACCTCTTTTACAGTATTTGCTTTTCTGTCTGGAACTTTAACCACTTCAGAAAAAGCTGAATATGAGTCTACTAATATGAGGAATAGGCCTACATCTTTAATGTCTGCATGATCCATGTGTACTCTTATCAATGTCTCTTTCTCTTTTGGCCATGAATGAATCTTTTGGAATATGTGGCTGGATGTTTTAATTCCAAACAGCAGACAAGTCCATCTTAGAAGACCTATAGGAGTGTTTATCATGGCGACTTCTTGAAAATGGTCATCAATTTTAATCTGATTATATGCTGACGCCAAATCAATCTTGGTGAAAAATTTCATATTAGCAAACTCGTGACAGGCTGTTTCAATATTTGACAGTGGGAAGGAGTCCAAACATATCTGGTGATTTGCACCAACTTTATAGTCACCACAAATCCTTAAATCTCCATTTGTTTGGTGTATAGACACAATTGGAGAAGTCTAATTGCTACCTTCCTGTCTAACCTTCTCCAATATTCCTTGTTCAATAATTTTATTAAGTTTTGCTCTAACCACAAGCACAAGGTAAATCGGAACTTTATGAGACTGAAAATATACAGGTTGGCTGTTCTCTTTGAGCTGAACACTCACCTCAAAATTTCTTAAAAGTCTAATCTTGGGTTCTTCCAATTTCATGCAATTAATTAACCTTGAGGTGTCTACTCTTAACACATCAACCCCCAGGAGATCATGATCTTTTATGCACTCAACAACTATGATTGGTATTACCTCAAATCAAGTCTTCATTTCAAACACCCGCTTAAAGCATCCAAATGTTTTAATAACTGTCAAATTGCTTTAATTGCAGATAGGTCCTCTTTCACTCTTTCCATTTTCTCCCCAAAATTCTTGGGTATTAGAGTTACATCACTACCTGTATCCACTTGCATTAGTTATTCCATTTATTTTTACCCTTTCTCTGCTATTGTCTCTCACTTTTACTTCATAAATTTCCATG